TTTTTTTTTTTTTGGATAATCTAGTTTAGGTTCTGTAGAATTTACTGATCAGATGATGACAGTATCAACAGTATCTTCAAACTGTTTGTCCTTCAACTATTCAACAAATAAACAGATTTAACAATTATAAAAGAAGAATATGGCAATAAAATATTGTAAAGGTGTGAATAGACTGCTTTTTTTTTTGATGAAATATTCATCGGTTTTTGCACTGTTCTTCACTAAATTTTCTTCATCAAATAATTGTTGATAAAATTAAAATAGATAAATATGATGAATAAAACTATACGTAAAATTGTATTTTTTTTTTGATTCCGCTATTGAATATATGAATTTTCCATTTCTACTCTACTTTTTTTTTTCTTGTCATCTTTTTTTGTTTATAATGTAATGCCTTTTTTTTTGTCTGTTTGAAAAGAAGCCAAGGAATGAATGTGAGAAGAATAATTTTGATTGATACGGTTCAATGGTATCTATTGATAACATATTGGAGAAGCAAAATTCAGCCTTAAACAGTAGTATCTTATGTACTTTACATTCCAATTTTAAGACTAATTTTTTTTGTTAATCAACTTGCTATGATATTATATTGTAAAAAAATTGTATGTAGAAAGCGAAAAAAAAAATAAATAAATAAAAATTACGTAAAAAATTATCATTTCTTTCTTTTTTCATTTGTTAATTTTTTAATAGAAAAAATTTTTCTATTTTTGTTTTTATAATAAAACTATACGGTTCATTGGGGACGCTATTTAATTCAATGTAATTTTGCAGCAACTGCTAAGATCAATTTTATTTGATCAAAAATTTATGAAGAGTTAATTTAAGAGTACCGTTTTTTTTTTTTTTTTTTCCTGGGAAGGGTAAAAGGGAAAGGTTGGATATGGGAATTTGAGCTTTATGTCATCGATATGTGGCATCATCATCACTTTTTTTTTGAAATTTTTATGGATAAAAACGACTGTTGACATATAGTTAAAAAAATTGTTGCTGAAAATATTTGTTTGTCTAACAGCTTTTTTGTTGAAATTTCAAAAGA